GTTTTGTTTTAATGATTTATTTTTATTTTTAAATTGTGTATGTGTCTGTACACATGCACGCAGGTACCCACAGAGGCCAGAAGAAGGCAGTTATAAGCTGCCCCATGTGGGTGCTGGGTACCAAACTGGGGTCCTCTGCAAGAGCAGTAAGCTCTCTGAAACACTGATCTGTCTTTCTATTTTCTTAATGTGCTCTTTTCGAATAACAACACAGCACTTCAAAATGTGCTCTCTGCAAATTGCTGGGTAAAACCCTGAAGTAGTGACATTTCCCATAAGAAAGTCACTTGTACAGAAACATGTGTTTCTGTTTGTGTCTTGGGACAGGTTTCCACGTAGTAGAGGTGATGTACGATGATGTGCCCATCCCAAACAGTCCCTTCAAAGTGGCTGTAACTGAAGGCTGCCAGCCATCTCGGGTCCATGCCCAAGGTCCTGGACTGAAAGAGGCCTTTACCAACAAATCCAACGTCTTCACTGTAGTTACCAGGTAATTATCTGATTTATTTATTTTTTTAAGTTTTATAAGCCACGATGGTAGCACATACCTGTAGTCACAGGGAAGCAAAGTAAGGCAAGTGTGAGTCTGGGGCCAGCCTGAGCTACAGAATGAAAAACAATTAAAGGATAAACATGGAAAGGAGAGATCAAGACTGTATATATCAAACTTCAGAGAGATGTTGCATTTGTTGAATCATTATGGCTAACTGGGGTGGTTTCTGAAGGGATTTTAAGTGAATTCTGGCAGTAAGCAGACTAGTGTGGACTGTTCACATCGTAGTTCTCTCTCTGACTCTTTCCAGAGGGGCAGGAATTGGTGGGCTTGGCATAACTGTGGAGGGGCCATCAGAGTCGAAGATAAACTGCAGAGACAACAAAGATGGCAGCTGCAGTGCTGAGTACATTCCCTTTGCTCCAGGGGATTATGAGGTCAACATCACATACGGAGGAGTCCATGTCCCTGGTAAGCGATCCTCAGGTGGTAGTCCCGAAAAAAACTGATGTTGCACAAAAACAGATTTGGTTCTGCTTATCGCTTTTCAGTAGAAAGCATAGTTGGTTGGTTGTGGCAGCTACAAAGAGAGACTCTTCCCACAGATGTTAGAACTTTTTGTGGACAAAAAAATCACCCCTGATTGAGAACCACTGCTATTCAGACTGAAACCATAAGGAAAA